CTGCTGGACCCGAGGGAGGAGAGAAGCAGCAGGGAAAAACTAAGAAGCCGAAGGGTGTCGTTATGAAGGGATGGGAGACACCCGTCTCCAGGCCAGGACGTACCCGTATGGCTACTAAGAAGCTGACTGCAGGAACTGATGCAGCAGAGCAGCAGCTAGGGACCGAAGAGGCATTGCTGATTCTACCTCATGGCTATGACCCGGATGAGGAGGATGAGCCTGCGTACTGTTTTCTTGCCCCTGCACCAGAGGAACCAGCTAGCATGGAGGAGGCATTAGCTGGACCAGATAGGGACAAGTGGCTGGCTTCTAGGGATGCTGAGTACCAGAGTCTGCTGGAGAATAGGACATGGGATCTGGTGGTGCTGCCTGATGGGAAGAAAGCGATACAATGCAAGTGGGTGCTGAGGATCAAGACCGATGACAAGGGGCAGGTCACCATCTACAAGAGTAGGCTGGTGGCGAAAGGGTTTATGCAGAAGGAGAAGCAGGACTTCAACGAGATCTTTGCTCCCACTGCCAAACCCCCTACCCTCCGTGTCTTGTTGGCAGATGCAGCTGTTAGTGGGAAATTCATCATTCAGATGGATATTTCAACGGCATTCCTGAATGGGATTTTAGAGGAGGATGTGTACATGACGCAGCCGCCTGGGTATGAGGATGGTACGGGCAGGGTGTGCAAGCTCAACAAGTCCATCTACGGCTTGAAGCAGGCGCCACGCTGCTGGTACCAGAAGTTGGCAGCTGTTTTAGAGGAGATGGGATTCAGGACCAGCAGCTGTGATGAGAGCCTCTTTCTCAAGGGCGAGGGGGAGAAGCTGGTGCTGTTTCTGGTCTATGTGGACGACATTCTTCTCTTCAGCAGCAGCATGAAGGAGATCCAGAAAGTGCAGCAGCAACTGATGGAAAACTTCAAGTGCAAGAACCTTGGGGAGGTAAAGTACTACCTCGGGATGCACGTGGAGAGGGATCCAGATCACAGGTGGTTGAAGCTGCACCAGGAGAAGTTCATCAAGGAGCTGGGGGAGAAGTATGGGATTGAGAATGAGCGCAAGGTTGCAACTCCCCTGCCAGCAGAATTCAAGCTTGTGAAGGCTGCAGAGGATGAAGGGGTTGAAGCTGAAGAGCAGCAGCAATTTCAGTCCTTGGTGGGCAGCCTCTTGTACGCAGCAGTTCACACGAGGCCCGACATCTCTTTCTTGGTTGGGCAGCTGGCTAGGGTGGTGCAGAATCCATCAGAGGAGCAGGTGGATGCAGCTGAGCGTGTGGTGAAGTACCTGAACTCTCACCCAAGCATTGGAGTTCAATACTCCGCATCTGCACAGGTGAAGCAGAAAGGGGTGGAGGTGCTGAAAGAGAAGGGGGAGAGGCTTGGAGAAGGCAAGCTATTTCTCACTTGCTTTACCGATGCTACGTGGGCTTCTGAGAAGGAGGATTCCTCATCTGTGGGAGGATACATCTGCGTAGTTGGGGGAGGACCTGTTAGTTGGAGGTCCAAGAAGCAGACGGAGACGGCACTCTCTTCCGTAGAATCAGAGTACATGGCGATGTTCCATGGGGTGAAGGAGGTGATTTGGCTGAGGAGGCTGTTAGAGGAGATTGGCCAGGAGCAGAAAGTTGCTACGCCGCTGTTTTGTGATAGCAAGGGGGCTCTTGGGATGGCCAGAAACGCTGTGCTTCATGGGCTGAACAAGCACATGCGTATCAAGTGGCACTGGCTGCGTAAGGAGGTGAAGAGGGGGACGGTGCATCCGATCTACATCAAGACTCACCAGCAGCCAGCAGACTTTCTCACCAAGAGGCTTGCGGATGAGCCTCATTGGCGTTGTGTGCGCATGAGTGGAATGAGCATGAACTAGCATGGAATGACGGGGATGCAGCCGGCAGGCTGAGGGGGAGTGTGTTGGGTGCAAATGCACATTGCACGACATCCTGCCGTCTGTTTGTACGAGTATGCGTGTGCGAATGCATTTGCGTGTGAATGGTGTGTTCGTGTGTTTGTTTGCTTTCGCATTTTTCGCTTGATGCATTTGCAGGTACTCGCGCAATGTGCGCTTTGGCACAACATTGTATGCGCTATGAACAGTGCAAGCAGGAAGGACGAGCTCGCAAAGGAACCCAAGATGGAAGCTTTGCAGTTCGGTTGAGTTGATTGCGCAGATTCAGTTCTATCCAACTCGGAATTGTACTGTTTTGTTTGGTTAACTATAGTGTAGCAGGGAAGGCACTATAGGGGTACAATTTAGGTGAAGGTTGGATGTTGTTTGTCTGTATCTGCATGCTACAAGGCCAGGGGAAACCAGCGGAACCAGCATTTGGCTGGTTGGGCAAAGACAAAACAGGTTCTGTTTTTAGAACCTGAACCTGGTTGTTGTTTTCCCAGGTTGGAAAAACAGAACCAGAGGTTGTTTACCAACCTACCACCTGCTATTTTGTCCAGCCAGGTTGGTTCTGTTGCTTGGAATTATTTGGGATCATCCCTGGTTGTTCCCAGGTTGATTCCCAAGGTCCTTGCTAGCTAGAACTATTTAATCCTTCTCTGTTTGTACCTGAATATAGTCAAATTGATTCAAGCGAATTCCTTCCTCGCTGGAATTTCGTTTCTGCGCTATTCGACGGCGGAATGCTACCCGAGTCAACGCTAGTATGCTAGCACTCCAACGCTAGGCAAACGCTGTCCGAGCCATAACTTAGTAATGGCAGAACTTTTCGCGAGGCAACTTGGCTCATTTTAAAGCTCTTGGAGCGAGCTTCGATATAGCGAATTCTCAGCTTAATCCGACCGACGGTCTGCACGGCACGCTGCGCGACGTTCAAGGTACTCTTGCTGTTTTGACTAAGTCCTTCTTGATCCCTCTCTCTACAAACTCGGACCCGAGGATAGGGGCTGGTCTTGTACCAGGCACCCAGGGACCCTTGGAGGTGACCCCGAGGAGAGGTTTTAAGTTTGATTAAGTCCTAATAGCTTGAGTTTATTAGGCCCTTACACCAAACTTCGCATAGAGGTCGCGCATCTTGTCCAGGACTGGTTGCACCGGCTCTCCCTCGCTCAGGCGCAACGCGGACAGCTCCCTCTCGGCATCAACGTTGCGACAACGGAGGTCGGGGCGTGCAGCTCCTTCAACACGGTCCACGCCTTCGGACCGCATTCAACCTCCGGCAGCAGGTGCATGACGTGGTGACGCTGGTTCAGCTCCAAACTCTGCGACATCAAATAGTAGCCAGCCGAGGAGCGCTCGTCCCAATCTTCCTGCAGCGTGGGGTCACTCGGTCTAGGCTCCTCCCCAATCATTAGTTTCAGCAAACCGATCTGACGGAAATATAATTGCATTTTCCAGGCCCAATCATCATAGCCCTCACCATTGAACTTCTCGACGGTGAAATTCTTCAGCACCTCCTTGACAAGCGAGCCCTGGTTTGTTCGCGCTCCCCTTGGCGCTGAAAGACCAGAATCTTGGCTGCCGCTACGATCTTGGGCTGAAGATTCACCAGCTCCCGCCGAGGTGTTGCCCACCATAGCTACCTATAACGAGGATCACTATAACGCAGCTCTGATACCAGCTTGTTGGTGTAAGGGCCTAATAAACTCAAGCTATTAGGACTTAATCAAACTTAAAACCTCTCCTCGGGGTCACCTCCAAGGGTCCCTGGGTGCCTGGTACAAGACCAGCCCCTATCCTCGGGTCCGAGTTTGTAGAGAGAGGGATCAAGAAGGACTTAGTCAAAACAGCAAGAGTACCTTGAACGTCGCGCAGCGTGCCGTGCAGACCGTCGGTCGGATTAAGCTGAGAATTCGCTATATCGAAGCTCGCTCCAAGAGCTTTAAAATGAGCCAAGTTGCCTCGCGAAAAGTTCTGCCATTACTAAGTTATGGCTCAGACGGTGTTTGCCTAGCATTAGAGTGCTAGCGTACTAGCGTTGACTCGGGTAGCATTCCGCCAACGAACCGCGTAGAAACGAAATTCCAGCGAGGAAGGAATTCGCATGAATCAATTTGACTATATTCAGGTACAAACAGAGAAGGATTAAAAAGTTCTAGCTAGCAAGGACCTTGGGAATCAACCTGGGAACAACCAGGGATGATCCCAAATAATTCCAAGCAACAGAACCAACCTGGCTGGACAAAATAGCAGGTGGTAGGTTGGTAAACAACCTCTGGTTCTGTTTTTCCAACCTGGGAAAACAACAACCAGGTTCAGGTTCTAAAAACATAACCTGTTTTGTCTTTGCCCAACCAGCCAAATGCTGGTTCCGCTGGTTTCCCCTGGCCTTGTAGCATGCAGATACAGACAAACAACATCCAACCTTCACCTAAATTGTACCCCTATAGTGCCTTCCCTGCTACACTATAGTTAACCAAACAATACAGTACAATTTCGAGTTGGATAGAACTGAATCTGCGCAATCAACTCAACCGAACTGCAAAGCTTCCATCGTGGGTTCCTTTGCGAGCTCGTCCTTCCTGCTTGCACTGTTCATAGCGCATACAATGTTGTGCCAAAGCGCACATTGCGCGAGTACCTGCAAATGCATCAAGCGAAAAATGCGAAAGCAAACAAACACACGAACACACCATTCACACGCAAATGCATTCGCACACGCATACTCGTACAAACAGACGGCAGGATGTCGTGCAATGTGCATTTGCACCCAACAGTTAGAGGAGTACAAGAACATCATACCGGATGGCTTGCCTGAAGGAGTGCCTCCAGCGCAAACCGACGAACACGAGATCGTGGAGGAACCAGGTGCGAAACCCGTCTCCCGTGCACCATACCGCCTTAGTCCGACCGAACTGACAGACATGAAGAAATAGATAGAGTATCTACTGGACAGAAAACTGATCCGCCCATCCACCTCTCCCTATGGTGCACTAGTTCTCTTCACTCCAAAGGTAGACGGTAGTTTACGGATGTGCATCGACTACCGGGCACTGAACAAACAGACAGTCAAGAACAAATACCCCATACCGCACATAGACGATCTTTTAGACCAACTGCATGTGCAAAGGTGTTTCCGAAGCTGGACCTACGATCGGGTTACTTGATAAGTCGATCCATAAGACGGAGTTCCGTACCAGATACAGCTCCTACAAATACCTAGTGATGCTGTTCAGACCCTGCAATGCACCAGCGACGTTCCAGGCGGAGATGAACCATATCCTACGGCCCCTACTAGACGAGTGCGTAGTGGTGTATCTGGACAACATACTCATCTACTCCAAGAACATGAAGGAGCACGTGCAGCATCTATGGAAAGCCTTCGAGATCCTCGGAAAGTCTACGTGAAGTAGTCGAAGAGCGACTTCGCCCTGAAGAAGGTGCAGTTTCTCGGGCACATGGTGAGTGCGGAGGGCGTACACGCGGACCCGCGGAAGATTGAAACCGTCAAGAAATGGAAAGTACCGGAGAACGTGAAGGAGTTGCAACAGTTCCTAGGCTTCGCCAACTACTGCAACATGTTCGTGCCGCAGTATGCTAAGATAGCAGCGCCACTGACCAACCTACTGAAAAAGGATACGCCCTACAAATGGGATACTCCTCATCAGCAAGCCATGGAACAGCTACAGACATCATTGACTACAGTGCCAGTACTCATCCTACCGGAGACAGATATTACGTGGTGGAAGCAGAAGATAGTGACCAAGCAGCCGGAGCAGTAGTACTGATGCAGGATCACGGACGTGGTTTGCAGCCCATCGCCTACCTCAGTAAGAAGCTACACGGAGCAGAACTGAACTACCCCATACATGAGAAAGAAGCCTTAGCGATAGTCATAGCCTTCAAGGCGTGGAGTTGTTACATAGAGGTAGCCAAGACTACAGTCTACACTAACCATTGCAGTCTCAAACTATCTGAAGTCGCAGCCAACGCTCTCACGACGACAGGTGCGGTGGGTGGACTTCCTGGAAACTCACTTCCACTACGACATCGTCTACAAGCCCGGGCTACACAACAAGGCAGACGTGTTGAGCCGCCCCGGTCATGTAGCAGGCATCCAGCTTGACGGGATAAATCCTCTTCTCAAGGGTCTATTCCGACATGGATACTCGTGACGCAGAGATTGCTACAGCAACGAAACAGAAGCTGCTGCTACAATGGGAGAAAATACTTAGCCGTAAAAAAGGAATCATAAAAGATTTTGGTACCGAACTAACTATGCCCTCTACGACAGATCCTAATGGAGAGTTTCATGACGAGCATACGCCGGGATTAACAAAACATTAGCAGGAGTAGCTAAGAATTACTACTGGCCCCGATGATGGCAGCAGACGTTGCAGCAGTTCTGTGAGGATCTAGGAACAGAGTTTGAATTGAAATATCACCTGGGTACAACACGAGG